GTCTGAAAGACCCAGAAATAGGCTGAAACGGAGTAGGGCCTGCAGGCCCTCGTTTTTCAGCTTTCAGGCTGAAACGACCGGGGCCTGTAAGCCCTATGTTTTAGGCTTTTAGGCTGAATGTCCGGGACGGGGCCTGCAGGGCCCGTGTGGCTACGCAGTATGCCACATAGCTGCTCTCTAGATTAACATCCTCAAAACTTGGTCGCACCAAATCATCATCGCATACCCGAACAGAATGTGGCGTAATAGCCTCCGATCACTAAAATCGCAGAGGTCTCGCAGCTTGATGCGGCAACTCCATATGTGACCTCACATGTCACCTTACTCATAACCTCTAGCGCTAGCTCACACGAAAGATCTTGTTCATAGCATCGTTCATCTTGTAGATTGTATCCTCCCACCATTGCTTCTACATGCTCACGCTCGCTCAACGACTTCCGAGCTGGTTCACATGGGCCTTCAGAGATTGTTGAGAGTGGATATCGCATGCACTTCAGTGAGTAAGAACACATATGATGGATATCACAATTACGATGTACATAAGTACACAGTACTTAGCGCGACAAATGATTATGATTGTACTTGCACGCTGGTGGGTTTGGCACCTCGACCGGTTTCGACTTCCGCCACGCGGTCCTCCTCAGGGGGATCACCACCGCATCCTCTACCCTCGTCATAATCCTGCGTACCTCTCTCCCACCTCCGCCGTCCGTCCGCTACCATCTCCGGAAATGGCAAGTGGGTTTGCAGCGTCGGACCCAAAAAGACGGAAAGACGCTACAATCATTCTACTTATAGGTTCCCCAATGGCTTACATCCTACAGACCCCGACAAGTCCAAAACACAGCACCTGCCAGGCGCAACCTGCCCGAAAAAAACTAGTACTAGCCTTGGCTTGCGTCCTACAAGCATCAATCATACATAACACAGTGAGTCAGGGAATCAAACCTTGACAAGTACAAAAACAGCACCTGTGGGGCGCAAACTGCCCAAAAAGTAGTAGTACTTGCCCTGGTCCCTGGTCCAGTGGTCATACTCCAGCACACACAAAACGAAATTGAAATGAGTAACCCTCTACTCAGAACAACACTCACGTAATGCTGGTTCGGGTACCTAGGGTCGGCCATCAATCTTCCAACAGAACCTTCCAAACAGGTGGTCAAAGGTTCGAGGTCGTGCTGTACCGAATTCCAAAAAACCTGTTGCTACCGATTTCAAAACCCTGTTGCTACATAGTCGAGTTTCCATCATCTGAACGGATGTTTCTGCAGCTTCCAGTTCTCCTTCTGCAGCACGCAGATTGAACTGTCCGTGAACCAGCCGTTCAACTTCTGAACCGGCGCCGTGTATCTCACCGAGAAGCTGGCGAAGAAGAGCGATCAAAGTCTGTCTTCTCACATCAATTTGACCACGGGTCTTAAGTTCCCCTCCTTCTTCATTGGCATAGACAGTGAGAGGGATAGGGAAGAAAAAGAGAGGTATGAAAAAGAGAGGCACGCAGGCATTTCCAGAGATAAGTCATTTTCCCCAGCGTGTGAATGTCGTACAATAAATAAAATTACAAGACAAAAACAAATTCCATGGCACACACAATTCTTACAGCAAGAAATAATCAAGGCAGATAGAAAGAAACAGATTCTCAATTGATTTCTAAATCTAACTTTGTTGTCTGTTCTACGTGTGATGACGTTCTACAGCAAGTGCACAGGTACTGCAGCCATGGCCAGTGTGATCAAGACAACAACACACAGGTGAGTATGCATAGCAAGTCGTGAAGCCGTACCGTCTGCCAGCACACAAGTGCGCAATCAACACTTCACACACAGCAGCATTCCATGCATGCCACGTATCACCCCTGGAATGCCAACACAACAACTCTACAGAGTCTGCCACGTCAGCAATGCACGTTTGCAAACACATACAACACTGGCATGCCACATCAGCGCTTCACCAGCAGGCAGTCGCAACACAGGTACGTGCCACGTCAGACCATGGCCACGTAGGCAATGCACCACATCAGCGCTTTCTCTCTCTCTGGACCAGCGCCACGTCAGCTTGTTGCCAACGAAGCTCTCACCGGTATCTCGAAGTCTTCAGTGTAGCCACGTCATCATCTTCAAGGGAGGCTGCACGCACGTGCGGTACTCAATGTCTAGACCTGCGGTATTAAAGGGCGCACGCTAATAAACGTGTTTCGTTCATGCACGTGCGGCACCTCCCACTTACATGGGTGCCACGTCAGCATCTGAAAACAGATTGCGATGAAGAAGGTATGTCTGATACCAAATTGCAATGAACCCAGAATGGAAGATACTCATCAGACGTCGATGTCTCCAGTTAACGTGAAAGTGATATCCGATACAATATCTCATTACCAATAGACGAAGAGAGTGGAGGGGGAATATACAGAGGAGAGGGTGGAAAAGATAATCAGTGACCACTCAAGAGCAACACAATCAATTCCCACTCCTTCTCCGGGCTTCCTCTCCTTCCACGTCATCAATCAATAAACAGCAACAAGTCTGATAAATCCTGATCACTTAGAAGTGCCACGTGGCACTATTCTCCCATGGAGACAATGAAGACAACCAGCAGCATACAATATCGACATCAGCCTCAGGTAAGTACCCCGTCCCTCAATCATCCACAGATCCCGATCTCCCTCTTTGTCGCCCCCGCCGGTACTTATTTATAGACGTCCGGTACTCGTTTGTCCCGTATTGCTGGCCTGCCCCTCAGAACCCCTCTATAGCGCAGCGAGCAGACAAAGGACAAAGCAGCAAAGCATGCGTGCTCTACTCCCGGTGGGTTGGCATTGTGACCGTGACCCAGTGCTTCGTATAGGGCCATTCAAATAGCACCGCCCTCTCCTTCCAGATGCTCCACGTGAACACTGACGACTCTCAAGGTTGAGTGCACTCGACTCCTCACATGAGAAGACTCTCAAGACAGAACACACATCCTCACAGTAAGAAGTGTTGAAGAGGGTAGGTAAGGTTAAATGCAACGTACCTCGAAATACCTGCCCCCAACCACAGATATTCTCACCAGATGACCCAATGTTAATTGTGATGACCAGTCGCTGCTTCTGCACAACCAGCATTGCACCGCTGTTCGACCCCAGCATCAATCACACATCGGATAGTTCTCATCACACTGTGAACACCCAATAATCACCACATATTAGCCTTCCTGGCGATACCCCTCTTCTCCTGGGTCGCCTTACTTGCCTTTGCCCTCCTCACTACACACATCCCATGGCCGCTCACTCAGCAGACCGCGTGCATGTACCGCTTAGACAGAAGACAAGCGCCAGATGAGCGCACCGTACCACAGCTCTGATACCAAATTGCAAGGAAAATGAGCTATAGTGAACTTCAGAAACCAAGCAGCATCACACACATGAGACCAGATAGTCGCGACCTCGAACCAAAAGCAGAATTGGATCACGAGTCCCACCAAATAATAGCACAGCAAAAGCTCATAAGTGACAATGTTCAAGTAGTCTATTCATCATCAACAAAGAACCAATGTCGACATCCTATCTGGCGCTCTGCGCCCAGACGACAAATGGCAGATCCTATCTAGCCTATCTACAATGCCGCTGGTGATGTCAACAGCTCCCCGAAGTACGAGCGGATCTCAGCCAATGCCGTACACTTCAAGCACCAGGTATGCCTCTCATATCACTCACAACCTCGTTCCTCAACTCACAGATGCCATATGCACCCAAGGACCACCATGCGCCCCATCCAGCATACAGCAGCGCAGCTCGGCTATGGCTGCCTGCTCCTTCCAGCTCGCCCGTGAGCGCGTGAGCGCTGGCCAGCGTTAGCGCAGCAGCGCTTGCACAGCATGCAGCCAGTATCCGAATGCCGAATGTGTGGTCAGGCCCTTTCCTAAATGGAAGTGTCCCGCCTGCTTGCGTGCAGCCTGGCTGTGCTTGGCCCCTGCCCAGAAGCTTCCGGTAGGCCCAAAGAGGCTGAGCCCCAGTCCAAACAAAACAGGCCCTGGGCCTGTGGTGGTTGCCCATGTCCAACTGCCCGCGGCCTGTGTTCGGTCCATGTAGCGAACCTGGCCCAGGGCCTGCCTCAGTTACATTCGTAGGAGGCAGCCTGGGCCTGGGCGCTCTCAACCAACTGGCGCTGCACAACTGCCTGAATTTCCCCAGTTGTGTGGTGACCCCAAAATGGCCTGTAGGCCTCGGTCGAGCCTGCCTTCACTTAGGGCGGCCGACTGTGTTGAAAATAAGGCCCTGTAGGGCATATCGAGGCCTTGTGCCTCACAGTACCGCTGAACTGGTCTACATGCCCCTAAACCAAAAGAACCCCCGCTACTTCGAGAAATTCTGAGCGACCAGTGCGTTCAGTCCGATATCCCAACAGAGCCTTTCATCAGCTGCCGAACGGGCAAGACTCCTCAAAAGTTGGTAATCCGCCCACCATCCCTCCACTCGTCGCTTCCTCCGAAAACCAGATCTGATCCGTTATCTAACTACCAGAGCCATACAGTGCATACACGCATAAGAACAGAGCCGCAAAACTGCCGCTAGGTACACATCGAGAGATAATCGCGATAGGATACCCAAAGGGACCACAAGACGACAACCAAATGACGACAAATTGACAAAACGAACGTGTGAGATCTTGGGTTCGCCTACGTCGAAACCAGGGCCAGGGCTCCCCGTCCTCCACCGGCTCTATCTACTTTCCTAGCCACAAAAGTCATAGCTGCACATAAAGTCTGAAGTGCTCGGTTGGGCACAGCCTTGGCCAAATTGGCCAGGGCACACACACACACACACACACACACACACACACACACACACACAGAGAGAGAGAGAGAGAGAGAGAGAGAGAGAGAGAGAGAGAGAGAGAGAGAGAGANAGAGAGAGAGAGAGAGAGAGAGAGAGAGAGAGAGAGAGAGAGAGAGAGAGAGTTTCGAAGGGGAACACTGAGGAATACTGCGATGGGCACCGCCGTGGAGTAGGTGTTACATACCGTTATCTCTGGCAAAGTATTCAGCTTCTTTACAAACTCCTTCAGTTCTGAGACAGACTGCACCACATGTCAAGGCACACAGTACACCAAAGATGATATGATAAACTATGGCATAATCAGCAGACCAGGATTCCAGTAATTCCTTAAGGAGTCAGAATTTTTGTACCAGGTTTCTATTTTCTTGTTCCTTCTGCTTGGTTGTGACTTCGAACAAACAGATACTTCCTCAGAAATATGCGAAATGCCAGAGTGGAAAGCTACAGGATGTTCTTCCAGCAGAGCCAGCAGCAGGTGATTCGGTATTCTGCATCCACTTGCTGAGACCCGAAGCAGTCCAACATGGACTAGAGCTTAGACTCAATACATGAGGTAATAGGAGCACTTTCAGCAGTGTAACATGGACTACAGGATATACTGACCGGTGTTTCTCCATAGGAAAAGATGCTCAAATGTCATATTGGGTCAACACCCTGTTGACCCTCAATGATGCCATACAGGGTCAGCTCTGCAAACATCAGTGGGCTGATAATTATCATAATGACGACAGTAAAACCTCATCAGGGATCTTTTCCTCTTTCGTTGCAGGATTGTGATGAGCGCTGGGAGGCCTCGGTAACTTTATTCGGAAATCCATATGCAATGAATTTTGCATGTGCACTATGGGGAAGGGGAAACGAAGCAAGCATCTCAGATACTAAGCACCCAGGCTGCCTTTGGCTCCTGACTGGCCTGACCAGGCTAATTCCTGGGCAGCTGAAGCACAAACAAACAAACAAACAAAAAGTTCAAAATGCTCCACTATCAATGCAAAATTGCAAATGCATTGCAATTGAAACAGGTCCATTACTTCAAAAAAAAACAATTGCCACATTTTCTCACCTGTGATAGTGTTATTAGTGGCTCACGCAGGTGACTGCCTAGACAGGTTCCACGGATGACCTAGCCAATGAGTTCATATTTTTGCACCACATAGTGTCATCGACTGCCTGGCCTGAGAACTGGTTTGACAGTACCCATGAGTCCTCGACCATGGAGACTGCAAATGGAAGTCTGATTAACATGGAATGCAAGAACAAAGGACGTAACTCGGAACCAGAGAGCACTGAACGGGGGAAGGACACTGGGGTTACCTGATTCCCAACTTCCTTGTAATCTTCTTTCATTGCTGTTGCCTTTTGTCGAAGCATCTGGCATCCATGACAAAAGCTTTCCACTGTGAGTTCCTGTGAGCTGCCAGCCTTTTGTCATTTCTTGATGATTTAAGAAACCTGCAAAAATGATACAACCTTCCTAAACGTACGTATTATTGCAGTCAATGATTCGATACATATCATCCAAAGTCTAGCTGCAAACGATGAAACATACCATTATGTGTACCATTATGTGTGCAAGTTGGGTGTGGGAGTTAAGCTCCCATGAACACCTACTTTATCCGGCAGGCGATATATACCATTATGTAGGTGCTTTTAGAAGCGGGCCAGGGAAACCTGGGTGAACAGACGCAGGCTTGGGAGACATATAGATAACCTACGACTAGTGCAAGGAAGATGAGCGATAGCAAACTTCAGAAATCAAACAGCATCATACACATGAGACCAGATAGTCGTGACCTCGAACCAAAAGTAGAATTGCATCACGAATTTCACCAGCAGAAGCTCATAATTGACAATGCTGGAATAGTCTCATCATCATCAACAAAGAACCAATGTCGGTAACCTATCTTGCGCTCGGCGCCCAGACTACGAATGGCAGATCCTATCTAGCCTACGCTACAATGCCGCCGATGACGTCAACAACTTCACCGAAGTACGAGCAGATCTCGGACAATACCGTCACCTCTAGCACCAAGTATGTCTCTCGTACCACTCACAACGTAGTTCCCCAACTCACAGATGCCGCATGCACCCAAGGACCACCATGCGCCACATCCAGCATACAGCAGCGCAGCTCGGCTATGGCTGCCTGCTCCTTCCTGATCGCCCGTGAGTGCGTGAGCCTGGCCAACGTCAGCGCAGCAGCGCTTGCGCAGCATGCAGCCAGTGCCCGAAAGACTCTAGCGTGGGCTGACCCTTTCCTATACGGAAATGGCCAGCCTGCGTGCGTGCAGCCTGGCTGTGCTTCCGGTAGGTCCCGGTAGGCTGAGGTCCAGTCCAAACGAATCAGGCCCAGGGCCTGTGGTGGTTGCTTGTGCCCAACTGCCCTTGGTCTGTGCTTGGCCCATATCCCGTATCCAGCCCAGGGCCTGCCTTCCATACATGCAAACAGGCGGCCTGGGCCTGGGTGCACTCAACCAACTGGCGCTGCGCAACTGCCTGAATTTTCCTCAGTTGCGTTGTGGCCGAAATAGGGGCCCTCAGGCCCTCGTCGAGCCTGCCTTCACTTAGGGCGGCCGACATATTGCATGACAGGGCCAAAAAGGGGCTCATTGGGGCCTTGGCCTCGCATTAGCCTTAGATAATGCCTTTATGTGACACAATCTTGCAGAACAGGGAAGAGAACACCACATAGACCTCCCACACCACCCCCAAAACCAAAAATTGGCACGATGAAATGCAGACAGTACTAGACACCTTTCGGGGTGCAGCGCGCATGTCTGTGGCAAGAGCCGCAAGACCTAAAGGATGCACTAGTTCTTTGCTGCAAAGCTTTCATAATGAAATCGGAGTCTATTTTGCATGTTTGAAAATCTTCCCTTTTATATAATTTAAATTACATAAGGTGCCATTGAGACTATTTACTTCTCCGTCCCACCCACCAGCTGCCGGATATATTTTGACAACAGATCGGCTGAAAATCAGCCGAAAATGAGATCTACACAAAACCCGGCAGTTCACTGACATACATGGTTCCCTGAGATATGAGTAAATCAGGAGGGGAAAAGGGGATTGTAAACCGGAGGGCAGACTAACTTACATTTCTTAATAGGTATAGTATCTCACCTGGCCTACAATGCTGAAGTTCACATCTCGAAGCTCACGAAACAGCTTGTCACTGACATCAACCCAAGAAAGCAAAAAATCAGAGCAGTCAACAACCAACACTGAGTCAGTGCCAAAATTTTTCACGTCTACCAAGCTCATCGTGGATGTCTGTCATGGTTGTCAAGGAGCAATCATGCAGCTGGTATAGCTACCTTCGAGTCAACTCTGCAATTGCATGCATGTATGCGAACGTGTGAATTCGTTGTGGATTGAAGTTCAATCGGGTACATAACACAGCTTTGGAGCATGCTACTGTTATGAACCTGGTTGTTTGTTGTCAGAAGACCAACAATCGCACACATAGACTTCCAGGTATGCCCATACATACACAGAAGGAAGGGGAGAGGATGGGAGTATCACACCGCACAGGGAGAGATAAACACAGCGGAAGACTTGACCATGCGATATGACAGAGAACACTAAAGGTGCACTTCGCTCCACAGAATCCTCAGTCACAAAGGAAAGCCGAGTAGATCACATCCAAGAAACAATGAAGCAACGATAGTCCCAACACAGTATCAACACTGTTTATTAAACTCAGAGTCTCAAAATGTCAGAAGAACCCCAGAACCATGGTGTGCTGCTCAGAAATGAGCAGCACTTCACTCCCCAACCCAGACTAACCACTAGAACTACCCCTGAGCCCCTGAAACATCAAGCACCACCCAGATACTGCCTCCAGAGGGAAGCGCCACCCTGAAACAGGCCTGTGAGGCCAAGCGCCACTCAGAGGATGAAGAAGAAGACCAGCGCCACAGTGCCTGATGATGATGAAGTGCCGGATGACTTCCCGGGTGGAAGTCTGCAGCAGCGCCACCTCTCCTGACAAATATGCTCTCTGAGGAAGAAAGCTGCAGCTATGGCTGCAGCGCCAACACACTGAAACCCTACTCCTGAGGAGGGTTCAGCAGGGCACCAACTTCTCTCGCTTCCAGCAGACCTCAGATAGCCCAGACCTCTGAACAGCCCCGCGTGCTGACAGAGTACAGAGTAGGCCCCAGCTATGGCCGACGCTCCGCAGGTCTGGCTATGTCCGTTCCGTCTTCCTCAACGCCGAAGCTGTAACCACTTCCAGTTCACTCGTTGCACAGCCGCGACGTACACGGTACCAACTGCCAAAAGCCCTGAACCGATGTCCTCAATATATCTATAGACTACACTAGCCTAGACACGACCTAGACCGGACTGACTGGACCGACCGGTACCGTTTGAGTTTCAACCTCTCGGCCTCTACCTACCCGGCTATAGGCTATAGCACCGTCTATCAGCATAGGCCTTTAAGGCCTGTCTGTCCTAGGGGTAGCCCGGGCCTGCTATTTGCAGATAGGGTAGCTGTAGGTAATTTCAGTTAGTACGGGCCTGTATTTTCCCGAATTTACAGATATGTCCCTCAAGAATTTCCCTGCAGGTAGGTCTCTCGGTTAGCCCTCAGATCCATCCTACCTATGGTACAGCCTCGATGAGAGAGGCTAAAGGCCACTGAAACCAGCAAGTCATTGCACTACCATCCCGACATCTGGATGGGCATCCAGACGGTCTGGGGTCCAGTGTCTGGACGCCAGACCGTAGGAGGCCCATCTGGACGCTGGACCGTAGGAGGCCCAAGATTAAAAAAAAAAGATGGGCACCGTGGACCTGTTCCTCGGGTCCAGGACGCCCCCCACAAAATGTTTCGTCGTTTTTGGGGCCAGTATCAGTCGTACAGGGCAGCCATACTGGCCCCTTCTCTAGTTGTTTGTATACCATTAGAGGGCAGAGTGCGGGTCCCTCAGTGACGATGGGAGGAAAGGGCGGATGGAGGCACTTTGACGTGCTTTCCTGCCCGCCCGCCCTTCCATTCAAGCATGCCAGCTGACACACACACACAGAGGGAGAAGGAGAGAGTACTCATTACTGTTGTTGATTGGTGTGTGCACGCACGAGAGAGAGAGAGAGAGAGAGAGAGAGAGAGAGAGAGAGAGAGAGAGAGAGAGAGAGAGAGAGAGAGAGAGAGAGAGTCTCTCTCTCTCTCTCTCTCTCTCTAGCGCGCGCGCATGTCTTCTTTTGGCAGAGAGATGTGTTGATGGTGGATGGATGGAGGGGTAAAGCAGTGATGGTAGTGAGATGTGATGATCTCTCTCTCTCTCTCTCTCTCTCTCTCTCTCTCTCTCTCTCTCTCTCTCTCTCTCTCTCTCTCTCTCTCTCTCTCTCT